TCCGAGAACGTGGAATAGATACGTTCGCACAACAGCGTGCATTTCATATTTAGTGCCAGTTACGAGAGTATGCAGTTCCACGGTTAAGTACGAATCCCACATCTCAGTTTCCAGGGAGATTGGTAGCTTGGCGCCATCAAGTTGGCGCGTTTATTCCACGCGGCGGTACGTTGGCCGGAACGACCACCATAAAACATAACGTTTCATAAGCATATTCCGAGACAAACTGCGCGGGAGAGCAGAAACGAGTCAGCGTAAGCCTTTTAAAAGTAGATGAGACCGTGGTCGTCACAGTATATCGCAGTTAGCGCCCTGGAACGCTCATTAACGTGCGCCCTGATTAGACTTGATATGAGTCTCTGCTCCCCGAACCGGGCGTGAAACTTCACTTAACGATTTCTGTTAACGTCTGCCGGAAAATAGTTTTCTCTTCCCGGCCAGCCTCTTTCCGCGTCTATAGTTTTTCCCCTTCCTTTTTTCTAGCTGCGACTTTTCTGGCTGCTTAGTTGCGCCACGACGACGGTATCTGCATAACAATGTTCGCGAGGAGGCCGTTTCTTTTTAACGCGGTGGAACGGTAAATTGCATTGTTTTTCCCTTTAATTAATAATGATACGAGAGTCGTTCAATTTAACTTTCTTACTTTCCCAAACTATATACGAATGACGAAAAGAACGATACTCTTAGATAAGCAAAGTAGTTATACTCCCCGACCTCCAGAGATAAGTTATTGAAATTAACAATTTCATTTAATATCTTCAATCACATAAAATAAGGATAACTTTATTATTACCTATTGACTCGAATAATCTTTTTGACATGATAGCGATCTTACTGCTGTTTTAACGGCTAATCAAGATGCAGTTAGGACCTTGCATCTCGATGTAACTCATCCAATTCCGCCTATCTACTTGTCCATCTCGGGCTTGTTCTTGTTTATACCCGACTAGTGTTCAGACTGTTTTAAATGTCTTAACTGCAAATGAGCATTGCCAGTCTAGCAACAAGCGCGCTTATTAGATCAGGCGTCGTGACGCTACGAGCGTCGGATACAGTCCGATTTATCCGCACGATTTTGCATACACAGCGCTTGCTTAACTGCGCCCTACTCACTAAAATTATTGTTATACTTTCCAGTATTATTACATATAGCCCCAATTAGTGAAAATGGAGTTGTGAGGCAAAGATATAAATATAGGACATAACAATATGTTGTTTTGTTTACCTCGCGAGCAAAATGATGTCGGCAAGTGTAAACTTAGAGACGGTTTTTAATGAAAGTTGATCGTGACACCACGTAAATGGACACTACCGACGTTCGGAAATATTTATTATCTGCTGTCGCCTGTTCTCCCGATACACTGACACCAGACAACAAGGACGTCCCCTCGTTTAAGCAGAATACTCTGCCGCGAAGATTGATATCGCACATACTCGCACTAACACAGGTATAATAAACACTTTTACAATAAATCAAGTCGGTCCGAAGCGGTCCCTTATCTTATTATGAGAAATTTATCGATAGGGTCCCGACGATGAGGGCATTACCATCTGTGGTGCTTGACTTCTCTCCTCAAGGAGACTTCGCAACCGAAGAATGCAAAAAATAAAGTTACCATTCAATTACGAAAAACTAACGGTTTTAATAAAATTATTTAATCATCCACAACAATTTTTCTGCTCGCTACTCGTCTAGCAACACCATATAATTTTCAATGAGTTCGACAATAAAGCCAGCCGTAAAATCAATTATAAGAGAAAAGCTGAAATCTTACGGAACGACCACATTACAGGCCAGGCTAGTAATTCGTCCCGGATTAAAAATAATAAGTCCTCGCTTGTCGTCATCTTGTCCTGCCACGGATGGACCTCTACTGCTGCGATCGAAGGAATACGCAAGGTCACCATATCCGCTGCATTCCTCCACCGAGCCGTTAATTATTTTTATATACGAGACGCCGATTTATGGTAAGCGGTTTCTGTTTCAACATAAACCAGGCTATTTTATGGAGATTCTTTCTCCTGCATCGTCTGCACAGGTTTCTCCTTACCGGCCCGTTACCACAATCGTATTTTTCATGTCATCAACTCAAGTGGTTAACGTAAACACCAGTTTAATTAAAAATTTTAATTAATGAATATAAAATCAATTAGCAAATGTTATGTCAGGCATTTTTCTTGCTGTATGTTAACATATTTATCCTCACGTTACATATTTCTACTACTATGTCAATTTTATTTCAAAAAAATAAATTTTATTATAAAAGAATCTCATTATATTCTACATAGTAAGATGAAAGAAATAATGGTTGTAAATCACAATATGCTCCAGGTACAATAATTTCTGGTAATATTTGCAAAAATATTTCGTCTTATGATTGCGGCTCCTTGGATATTCGGAACACCTTCCTGTAATCTTTGGGATGTTGGTATTTGACCCTGTAGGATTATCTTTTGTAAAAGAAGCAATATTTTTGCGAAATCTCTTATTCACTCACGGATTATTTTTTTCGTGGTAATCTATTCCTGTATGTTTTATGAAAAATCTTTTGATCATTTTAAAGTCTTGATTATTTGGTTTATGAGCATGAATGGCAACAATATTTAAGATGTAAAAGGAATTTTTTTGAATTTCTTGATACGTTACATGACGCCGAATAATCTTTTTGATATGATAATGAACTTACTGTTGTTTTAACTGCTAATTAACATGCAATTTGAATCTTGCATCGCGATATAACTCATCCCATGCATCTACCAAGGCTTATTAGTCATATACTACTTGAAGGAACATGTTTCACGAATATACTCTAACTTGTCACCTTTCATCAGATATAGTTTGACTTCTTGTAGTTGTCGATATAAATCGCTTAGGAGGATTCTGCTCATTATAGGTTTTATTTTTATAGACAAGACAATTCTTCCAATATTGATCCACAGCACCATGTCTTCTAATATTCAACTCTCGAGCAACAGCTGCCAATAATCGATTCATAACATTTTTCGCGCATTCTTGTACGAATACGTGAGTTTGATCAAATTTTCTTCCACTTCATTTCATCCTTCCCAAGATACCCTTGACTTTTCCAACATCATCTCTTGTCCAGTCTCGTTACAGTGAAATAAAGAACTCATTTGATATATCTTCATCCGAGTCGGTTCACTTTCACAGTCTGTTTTTGTACCAGAATGATACTGCTTCTTATTGCAATTTTGATTGTTGACTTGAAATGCACATAGTTCATTTCAGTGACCATGTAGCTACTTCAATTATACGATGAGGCATGGGAAGGGTGTTGTTCAAGTGTTTTTCAATTTTTCAACTCAACTTTAGATTAGGCATTAGACGACTACATCACACTCAATGATATGTTTTGAATATAGCTTTAGGTTTTGATAATCCTGGTAGACCGTTACCTATTGTCATTCTCCTATTCTCGATAACATTCCCGTAGCATCGCTATACAACCTAATAATGTGACGGCAAACTTATCTAAATCAAACAGCTGGAAGAGAAATGCAAAGGCCCAGTTAAACTATAGCAGAAAATTATTTTAAGACAGATTTGAATACTAAAAAAAATTATTTTGGAAAAATTTTGTTACATTTCTGCTTAGCATTAATAAGTATTTTTAAGTTTTAAAATTTCAATGCAAAACCTAAAAAAAACGTTGTCTGGTTCTGGAATATAAAGGTCAACCTATGAAATAGCACAATTAGTCAAGTGGTTGTACCTACGGAGATAACAGTGACATAATAAATTCATTACTTTACGTTATGGAAATACCACAAATGCTGGTGATAACCCTCCCAGAGTGAACATCTATCCTACTGTGTAAGTCGTATTAATCAGAAAATTTTTGCATGACGACACAAGAATCTGTATAAGGTTCTCTCGTAAATTGTTGTTGACCAAGAAAAAATAAAATTTTGATTTACTCCTGTCTCTAGACGAACGGAATAGACAATATAATTAGTCGTACCTTCGCTTCGATTCGACAAAACGACGCAAAGTGGGGATCGGCTTTAATCGATAGAAATTTACCACGAAATTTATGATTGCATCAAACCTTGCATACAAAATTTTTATTAATGTAAAATTTTATTAAATATATTTAATGTTTTTTTTTGTGAATATTTATTATATATTTCGGAAATTTTAAGAGAGGTATATGAGATATGTGTGTAACACAATCAAACGTAGGAACAATTATCGCCGGTAGTTACCACTAACGCCGAAGGGCGACCATATATCAAAGGGATGGCGACCAACGTTGCTACTTAAACACAACTGCAGGAATTACGAGATAATACGTTAGGCAAATGTCTGTTTAGGCGAGGACGTAGTACGTTGCGTTCTCACTTTGGCCGGCGGAGCTAGTGCGTTCGGTCGTCTCTCTCGTCGGCACATTAGTGACAAAGGATGGAGAGCCTCGGAACGGCCCAAGAATTGTTTATAAACTGTGGCTGCAAATCATGGTCGCGTCGCGCGACCGTATTCTAGCGGTCGCTAATGCGTGCGGAATGGCCCGCGCAGGTGGTGCTGTTAACAGTAAGACAAAGGGTCGAAGATTGATGGCCGGGATTAATGCGACCGTGTCCCCTTACAAGATATTAGCACTACTTAACTCGCCACGTCTGTAAACAACGGTAACGTTTCGTGCCTACTTCACTATAAGATTACTTCTCTCTAGGATTACTCTTTACAAAACCATCATATTAGATTATAATCTTCATTCAGGTTTAAATCCTGCTTTAAACACTTCCAGTCGAAAAGATAACATTGTATATTTTAAAGCAATATTCTCAACAGAAATGAATCACATTCTTAATTTATTGTTAAAGGTTGAAAAGAAATGCCTCGTAAACTTGACCCACATAGCAAATATTGCCGCTAACAAAAAATTATAGGGACGTTAAATTCAACACCTCTCAGACCAATACCTCACCATAAACAACAATTTAAAAGAGCGTTATAATAATATTGATTTAAAACTTACCTTCTTTTAAAACTCATCCCGCACGTCGAACAAAGAAATATAGTCGAATCGTCTTTCTTTTTTCTTAATTTGGTGACCGTGTCTTTTTCAATTCCGCATTTCTTGGTATGGTGAAGCCAATTGCTTTTTCTGACGAAAGAAACAAGACACGTTTTACAGGTGAAAGGGCGTTCCTTTGTATGAAGACGAATATGACAACGTAATGACCCCTTGGAGGAAATTTTTTCACAGAGGGGGCACTTGTATTTTTCAACACTTCCTTTTTTTGTATCTTCCACGATTATGGGCTTGGTGTGGAGAACTTTGTGGAAAATTAATTCTGATTCGCTGGTTGTGCTAAATAAACAAACGTCGCATGTTTTAGTGTTTTTATCTTGATATGAATACGAACAGGATTTGTTCCTTAGATGCACGGTTAAATCCTGAGCAATAACGAATGATTTTCCACACATAGAACAGCTGAAAAAAAAAATCAATTAAAACAATTTGTGTTTAAAGAATGCTACTAGATGTTTTGAACAATTTACCTGTAATTATGTTCAGGATGTTTTTCCGATAAATGATTTCTTAATTCAATAATATTATCTAATATGTCTTCGCAATAAATACATTTTTTCTTTGGATCTTTTCCTGTAGATGAATTTCGTTTACTTGATTGTAGGGCAATTCTATGTTGAGTTGAACTTCTGTGTCGTTTAGCATCAAAGATATTTGAAAATGTTAGATTGCATACGGAGCAAAAATTGAAACTATCTTGGTGAACTCTCTTCTTGTGTCGTTGTAGAGCAACCTTCGATTTGAAAACATGGTCGCATTTATCGCAATTGTTTCTGTTCTGGTAGGCGTCCGAGGCTGTGTTCGCGTACGGATGCTTCTCCCTCTCGCAATGCTTCCTTAGCTGGATATTTAGAAGGAATTTCACGTCGCACGTCTGGCATGCGACGTAGTTAAGCTTCTTGATAACTATGGGAACAGATCGGTTGATAACGGAGATAACTTCTTTGTGTTCGGCGGACAGCAAGTGCTCGAGCATACGCTTGTTGTCGGGCGTCTGGAATTTGCAGAAGGCACAGCTGAACGTACCGGGAAATTTACAGGCGGAGGCCTCGTGCTCCAGCGAGCACCAGTGCCTCAAGAAGTCGACCTGTGTGTTACAATAAAAGCTGCAGGTCGCACACTGGTAAGGAGACTGCAACACAATACTGTGGATGTTTTCGAGCACCATTTCGCGAGCCGCCGGCAACGTAATATCGCCCTTGCGACAATGATAATGAGAGATTAAGTGTTTTCCCATCATCTGGGTGTGTACCCGCGACCGACATACCCCGCATTTCAGAAACGTCCTTCGTCGCGTTCTCTTTGCGATTTTTGTCCCGTCTCTATTGTCACCGAGTTCGCCGGTATGCGACCAATGGTCCTTCCGTAGATCACGTTCTTGTTCGGTAGGTCTCAGCTCCTTTGCCGTTGTATTCAAATGGGACAAGTCGTCGAACTCTTGCTGGCTCCTTTTCAGATGCAATTCAGATTTCAGATGGCGTTCGTAAACTATTTTCGATGCGAGACGTCTATTGCATGATCCACACCAATATTGTACTCGACCACTTGATTTTCTCAAAAATGAGTTTTTTATCTTATCTTTATCTCCTAGTAAAATTAGAAACTTAAAAAATTAATATACCAAACAAATATACTTACCAATTGTTTTGGTTGGCTTCCATTTGCCTTTAGTATGTGTAGGTGGAGGTGCAATTTCTACAATTTTAGTCTTATCTTTTTCAATATTCTTCTTATCATCATAAAGTTTGATCTTTTTTTCCACAGGTTCGCTAACGCTGTTCTTTGAATCATCAGAACTAGGTTTCAATTTTCCTTTAGGTGGGGGAACGTTAAATTCTACAATATCCCACTCTTGCTCCCTGCTTTCTAGTTTACTTTTCCATTTTCCTCCTGTATAACTCGCTCGCGGTGTTTCAGCGTCTTTTAGAACCGGATTTGGAGACGTGGGCTTCCATTTTCCTTTGGTATGAGTAGGTGGTGGGGAAGAACTTCGTTTGGAACCCGGTTTCCATTTTCCTCCGGTGAAGTTGGCTGGAGGGCTGGACCAAGATCGGTTTTGCCATTCTACTGGAGAAGAAGACGGCTTCCATTTTCCTCCGGGATGATGTCGAGTGTCTAAAAGATCATCTACATCTGATTCTGAGTCATCGTCATAATAATAATCATCAGATTCGTCGTCTGTAATTTCGTATGGTGTTATAATGTCTTTTTTCAAAGATGTGTTTCTGCTCAAATTATCGACGGCTCTAATCAATTTACTGTGGTTGTCGTCTCCGCTAATTTCTTTAAGTTGATGACCTCCAATCCAGGCGTTTTTACCACTTTTTGAATGTTGTATATCAGAATCTTTCGGTGTGGAGTGCATTACAGATGATGTTTTACTTCTCGTAAGAACACCACTTAGAGATTTTCCGGTTGTTGAGGAAGGCAGTTTCTTGGAGCTACTTTGAAGTTCTAACGAGGAAAAGAAATCGTCTGCTTTCAATCCAAATGAATCTTCCGGTGTAAGTAATTGACTGGGAAGTGGCGATTTAGGGATATCTTCATCGTGATGAATGGTTTTCCCACAATTTGATTTTCGATGCGTAACATAATTATCTAATCCTATTATCATGGTGCTACATTTTATGCAATAATGCGTATCATCATCAAATTCTTCAATCATTTCTATAGGAAATAAAAAAGAAAAATTAGTTATTTTAAAATTAAGTTTGAAGTTATTATTTTGTGCGATGTTAGTATGCAGCCGAAATAAATTTGACTTAATTGTGCCTCTACGTCAAAAGTTCAGTTCGGAGAGTTGCGTGCGCGAATGTCGTAGCTTACACCAGGACCACAGGACAAGTATGACCCAGGCAGAAGACGAACGTCGTCGGCCTGACATATGACGTACTTAAAGTGCACATTAAGTTTTGCCGTTGGCATTCTTTGCGGTGGCCATTGTTCGATAAATTTCTTCACGTGATTACATAAATTTCTGGCGTGTAGTCGCGTTATCAAAACTAACGACTGACGGGCATAGCACATATGTCCTCCAAGTACTCGCACGACGTGTCTCTTACTACGTTTTACGGAAAATATTGCACCAACCATAGTTTGTATTTGCAGATTAAAGTGACTAATACATTTTTTTTACTATAATTTATTCGACTAATTTTTTTTTACAAATTTCCATAGTAAATACATTTGAATTTTTAGCTTCTTCTTATTGAACGAAACTTTATTTTAGCCAGTTCCGTAGTAAGTCGTTTCAATACACAAACTTCTTCCAGTTTGTGACGGCGAGATCGCGCAACTGGAATAACTAATTTTTCCGAAAGCCATAAATGCCTCACGTAAATCCCGTTCGAATGACAGGGAAGGGACACGCGTCGCGACGCCCGCCGTGTCTTCATGGGTCGACCAGGTCGCGTATTTGCACAAATAAACATACATTCGTCCGCTTTTGCCCAAGTGACATACAAGATAATCCCGAAGTAACGACTTTAGTTGGAAGTTGGTCGAGTTATTCCAAGCACGGCGCGCGTCATAACAAGTTCAGACTGAACCATTACTCGGTGGGCGTCAAGTTCCGACCGGATCGCGGACGCGATTGACATTTTATGCTAATACCACCGCGGAAGTTTGCTCAAACAAATATAACCTAAGCTATGTAGACCTATTGGGAAGAAAATCTTTGTCTCGTAATTTAGTAAATATTCGTGCCATGCGCCTCATTAAATATCTCGAACACCGCACGAACCACGAATAGACCCTCCTCCTAAATATTTCCGAAAGTTTCAAAGTGCATCTAATATATTAATGCGACTGTAGTTGGCGTCGAAGCTTTCTAGTTGATCCAACGAGTTCAGATAGTATGGCACATTGCAGTATGCAGCGCAGGGATTGAGATTTGTCGTGAACGGGACGCTGTTGACGGGATGAGCCGGGACAGACACCGGGGCTGTTGTCCGAATAACGACTTTTCACATCGATCGAGAAGGGCGCACCTCGCACCATCGACGTTCCACGACGCTAACTTCGCCTACGATACGAGGACTGAACAAAGAAGCGTCTTTTCGATGTCTTTCACAATGAAACACTAAATTTGATCTATTCAAGATTAGAAACTAATCAATGTTAAATGAAAATATTAAAGCTGTTGATTTGATTTTCGTTTAAATTGGAACGGATATGAAAGAAACAAAGTGGGTGTTTTGAAAAAGTCATCCATTATGCACCAATTGTCACCCGACAGCAAACACACGTACACCTGAATTCCCAATAAAAGAAAACTGGTGTAGTGCACGGGCGTCCGCCCAATTAAAATTGATGGCAACCGCGAGGAGGTCGTACACGGATCCATCAATTAATTCATTTCCGAAGACAAATTACAGGTTGGTTTTGCTTGCGTCGGTGGCGTATTTCCCGATGAAAAGTTCCCGTTAGGGCGCGGGAACCGCAAGAGAAGCGGTGGCCGGTAAGCTGCCTCCAGCCGTTCAATCATCTTCAATTACCTCGGCCAACTTCACGATAATTAGCGGTCAGTTGACGGCCCAAAGTAATGGATCCATCATCCCAGTGGACAGCGACAATGCCTTGGGATCCCTTGCGACGTACCATCCGGCGACAAAAACATCACCGCGACGTCCTGTTAGGATTAGAAGAATTAAACGTGTCTGCTATCAGTTATTCGCTCGTCTGTTTTCTCGCAGAACAGACGTAAATTGATTTATGGCCACTTGAAAAATAAACGTTTATTAAAAACTTAAGATGTAAATTTTTATAAAAATATGACTTAGCACATTAATAGTGAAGTAAGTTAGAAAGTTACAGTACTTTTGAAGTTATTGAAGTGAATAGATTTCGTGTCTGTTGAACGCTACATCTAAATCGAACATTCAACGTTTCAACTTATTTATTCTTCGAACGAACAGTAAAGTTGCCATCGCACCAAAGGCCTAAGAGGAAAGGTTTCTTGTACACTAGCAACACTACACTTACATAGTTAGTCATACATCACGGTCCGAGTTCATCAAGTTTGCGTTTCTATTACAGCCGCAATCGCAATGTGAATTACGCTGTCCTCTCTTCCAATCCGAGTCGGCGGACGTTTTGTTTTATTTATCGTCTAGCCTTTCTCACGTTGTTTAATTTATCTTTATGAATAGATGTAGCCACATGGGCAATCGCGGTGCCGTATTTAGAGGTTTATGTTAAGTGTCCCCCGGAGAGATCGTCGAGCGTGTACGCGCGTGCAATTATTCTAAGGCGGCTGCTTTAGAATAATCTATATTAGATACAATCTATACGAGTCGTGCAATTTTCCATAACGAATTCGGTGTGGATTAGATTATTATGTCGGCTGTCGTGCCTTTAAGAAATGTTATTGGCTTAACGTTATACGAAATTACTTATTGTGCGAAACCGAAATCGAATCGTTACAATTGATTTTAACTCATTGAAATATAATTCGTTGACATTTTAAGATTTTAGAAATCTTGGAGGTTTATTCAAACTACTAGATAATAAAGCAACCAAGTATTATTTACGATCATCTTTGCATCCTAAATACGCCTCTGCAGGTTTCGTACAAGCAGGGAAGAGGAAAGGTCGACTTAGCATGTCGGCGTGAAATAGGGTGCCAATTAGATTTTATTGTTATAGTAACGTTACAATGTTCACAACCTTCCGAAGCGATACTTTATATGCTAATGTAAGTCAATAAACCAGAATAAAATAAATTTTATTTTCGGGGGCGTACTTTTGTGCCACGTAGTCCCAAATATTTATTTAGATTACTTTTTAGATATTTTGACATCAGAAACCAACCCAATGAGTAAGGGTAAAGACCTTGCGGACTTCTTTGCCTCTACGATACGACTCGTTAAACAATAATGACTATGGGACAATAGGACGGCTTTCAATCAAACGAACCTGATATTTATCCATCGCGGCGTCATTGTTCGAAAGGATCGTTTAATGTTTTCGTGCCAAGGAGAACAATATCGAAACGAAATTTAATAGCTTGTTCCGTATTAAAATTTATAACGATATTTAGTTGATTAGCGGCGTAGATCACTCTTTTTCCTTCTTCCCCAATGCGACGCCATTGGGAGTGGGTCGTATCTAAAACGGCGCGTCCTTTAGAAATAGCGTAGTTCGACAATGGATGGCGCTACATGTAACAAAATGTTCAGAATGAAAGATTTTAAAAAAGTTTGTTAATAAAGTTATTTGTTGATAAAATAATAAGTAAGGAGATGATGAAGCGTTGATCAAATATTTTATTTTGTTACACAAAAGTGTTACTATCAATTAAATCGAAATCATAAAAACTTTTAATATAAAAGCTCTATACTTGGAGTTAATCAATTCTTAGTTTACCAATCCATAGTTACTAGTGACTTGAAATCAAAAATCTTTTTTTGCATTATCACAGCAGTTTCTTCTGTTCACGAGGATTGTCGGTGAAGTTGAGAGGGGGTAGCCCGTTGAGGGATGCGAAGGGTGCGCGGAGGTAGGTATATCTGGCAGAGAGTGTGAAACAAATCGAGCGGGCGAGACCGCGAGCTACCAGACAGCTACAGAAAGCACATTAAGGTGCGTAATAGCCGGTCGGGTAAGACCAAGCGCGCAGCGCCGCCAGCCAGCACTGCATCGATTAGACATAACGTCGCTCTAGACTGCTTCCGTCCCTCTGCTGCTGCTGCTGCTGCTACCACTGACATCACCTTTCAACCGGTCGTCCCCCCGCGATCCCCTCTTGTCGATTGGGGGGCCCAACGGCCACCCTATGTCGAGTGTAGGTCACGAGTGATTATTTGATATTTGTATGTTTGGACATATGAACCTGCCAGAGTCTATTATGTCTCTTAGGTTACTGGAACACGTTAACAGTTCATTAGTTAACTTACATAACTTTAATCAAGTAATATTTTAAAGTGAATCTTCAATTTATACTTTCACTCTGCACTTGATCAATAATAGTAATATACTCAATAATTACATTAATCTACATATGATTGAATATCTGCTTTGAACAAAACTAAGTATTAGTAGTATATATTATGTTACTGATTTGTAGAAAACACCACTTCAAAAATGTAATGGGACTATCAACATTAACATATGAAGAGTTAACACCTTATTATTCTTCTACAGAAGAGGCGTGAAAGAACAATCTTTGGTCTAAAAATACTGATAGCTGTAAAGTTACTTTAAAGACTATAAAATACCCACCTTGTATGGAATTTATATTCTGGAATGTGCTGTATTAGTCAGGAAGAATAACTTTGAATTTTTCAAAAAATATGAAATATCACATCCTCGAGACACACGCGGGAAGGTGAACTGCTATCTAGTGCCACCAAAAACGCACCTTACTAAGATTTAGAAGACGGCTCTGTACCAAAGTATCAAGATCTACAATCACATTTCGGAGGGTACAAGGATCCTGCCAGTTCCAAAATTCCGTAGAAGACTGAGAGCTATTGTCACGGAAAATCTGATGTATACCATTGGCATGTTTTTCCAAATTAATGTTTGAAGTCAATTTGTATTATATTACAATGTAATTATTGTTAAATTGACGCATAAGTATTATTATTATTCTAAACAGAAGGAGTAGTTAGCTCTAGCCCCAATCCATTTTTACATCTGGAGCAACAGAGAATTTACACAAATAT